CAACGATGTGCCCTGGCCAAGAAAATCGTATCGTAATTCGCCGCGCCAGTGGGCGTCGCGTGCGACGTCGCGGCTAATGACGACGATTTTAGGTGGTATTGGTCGAGAATAGACAATGTATGACCAAAAATAGACATAAGTGTCTACCATGTCCTTGTCTACGTGAAATCCGATGCTCCAATCGAAAGGGTAGTGCAAATTAAGGAGAACGTCGCGCCCATTGCCGCGCGCGACGGAGCGGCCATTTACGATTCTCTTGCTCGTCAACTTGCGTACGTTACCTAGCTTGCAACGCTCATTTCACCACATCCGCCATAACTCGAGAGTAACGCACCATTTTCAAATGGTTGAACATGTGTGTGCCTAGCCATCTAGTTATGAAATCAGAGTGCAGCATAGGGATCGGTGGTGACGTCTATGTCAGGACGCCCTCCACCGCGCCTCTGATTTCCTGCTACGGTGCGACTCTTCCGCAACCGAAAATCCAGTTACCATCTTACCATGTTTTCCCATCAAGTTTTCCGAGAATTTTGCCGTCGAGCGCGGGGAGACATTTAGAAATATTCATCTGAAGCTTTGAGGCCAAATACGACCCACCTCCCCAAGTGACCAAATACCTCCTCCCTAATGGGTTTCGCCCAACTATGGTGTTTGTCAACGCGCCACATATGTACGGATCTCCGGTGCTAGTGCCCTCTCTTTGCAGTTAGGATTCCATCGCAGTTTACCACCTGTTATTTGGCGTCTGTTTCCCAGTATCCGAAATGTATTGCTTTCTAGGAATGTATGACAATCCTCCACACTCATTGTGAATCACCGCATTTGGTTCACCGCGGCTCGGGATGCGTTTGGGGTCAGACTGTAATGTGGGGCACCGTGGAGAGCATCGTCAAACTGTTACGCGAAACGGCTCAGTTCGAAGGTATCAAGGACTTATCAGACTTCCTTATAAGATTATTGAGAAACTCCCAGCGAAAAGTTAACACTATTTTCAGGAACTGAAGGCGAAGGGAAACGACCGAAATGGCTTCGTCAATTGGAAGGTGGTCATTCGCTTGGCAAGGAAATCGACACGATGGCCGATGAGCGTCGAATGCTCAGCCGATTCGGTGTTTGGATGATGGCAGCACTTTGTCCACCAAATGTGAATGCGGACGAGGTAGAAATTGTTGTGTTTTTTCACAAATTCTGAGTAGGAATTCTCAGAAAAGCTCTTATATGGCTGTGCTAGTTGACTTACGATGAGGCAGATCTGATCACAAAAGCACGTGAACCTTGCAGCAATACGAGATTTCATATACGGTAGAAAACTCAAAAGATGCAGGGATAAAATTGTATGTTCTGCTCAATATTAGGGGGGGGAGCACTTCGCATTTTTGCTAGTTCCTTTGTCTGATTCATGTTAACTTACAGGTCTCTAACGTGTATTGGGATAAAAGTATAACAAATCGGAGAATTATAACACATGATTACTGGACTGAGAGTCTGAAGAGGGTAAGAGTGCCCCCGTTAGCGTAATAGGGAACGCAGCCGGGGTTGAACAGCAGTTATCAAACAATAGCAGCTTCAAAAGTGACTATTGAACTTAGAAATCTCAATTAGTAATAATAACTAATAATAGGGAATAGTAAATGATAACATAAGAAATTACTAATTCTGGTGAGACCTGTACATTCTTGGGGAGCTGCGAGGTGGCATACTTAAACCACATTATTCATTATTCACAGGAATTTACAGTTCTCACAAGTGGCGTGTCACAAGCTTCGCTGACAACCATTTAGTGCCCCCACCAAGTCGAACTGCGCCGAAATTGCAACATCTCCACCGGCGTCTAGATACCCGTGTTACATGGTTGTATTTGAAGCTAAAGGAATCAGGAGGGGTTTTCACACAGTCATAATAGAAGCCATGGCAGTTGCCGCGAGGTCTCCTCAAAATAGACGGTTCTTTCAGGAGTTCAGTATCCAAGGGGAAGAGTAGACCAAAGGCGTAAAGTATCATTTTGAGAGATCGAAAGAAACAACGTTAGAGGATGTTGGTCTCAAGGTTACCCCCCCCCACCCCTCCACGTCTCCCATCACAATGATTCAAGATTTCACAATTTCTCAAGTTTTTGTCCCGAAGCACGTCGTCGTCGCTCAATCAGTTGCTCGTTACAGAAAGCGATCTCATATATTATGAATAACGTGTTTCAATGGTTTGCCACAACGGCCTTGCTGCCGAATGACAGCATGGGAGCGAGTCTGGAACAGCTGAAAACCGATGTGAGTTGATCTAGACAGGGACCGTTGATGTTGCCTCTTTTTGGCAAAATGTATGTAGTAGGGCGGTAATTGCAGTTCGTTTGCGACTGGATCAATATGGCAATCAGAGTCCACTATGGGGTCTTTATAGAGGCGCTGTCGCCCGGCCCAGAAGAGGAAGGCCGTCATTTTGAGAAGACTAAAGAAGGACTTGCAAGGTTTGTGAACATGAACTGATTTGTGGTGTTCCACTACACGGGTCTTATTGTTATAGTCAGAGGCACATTCCACGTTGATGATATGGGCGGAGGAAGGCATGCGGCTGTGCTCTTTCTGTTTTTCCTCTCTTCAAAAACGTCAAACATAGGAGGCAATCGACAAGGAATGTGCACTGGAATGTTTGATTCAGTCCTACGATGAACGAAGAATGTGCCTTTGAAGCTCAATGTTAATTTTCACACATCGTGTTATATGCCTCCGATCTCTCACTGAGGCAGGGTAGAAGAGTGTGGGTAGGGCGTCGGCAGATGTGAAACCGCTTAGCTCTCCACAGAGCAGGAAAACATCGAGAGACCAGACGACGAAGATACGAGGTAGTACGGAAGCAGGCGAGACGAGAGACACCATCGCGATCGCCACTCTCGTTCGCTACACGGGAATTTCCGGAGAGCCTTGGGCTTCCTATGACTCGCCTTCCGGGGGTCGAGATGTGACAGCCACTGCCCTTGTTTACCTTTCTCTTTACTCGTGTAGAGAATGTTCAACTCAGTCAGTCGGGGAGTTTCCCTCGACCCTAATGTAATATGACTGTCTTATTAGAGCGTTGCGCTAAAGTTGAACTAAGAACAGAGAGGGAGCACAACCGACGCTGCATCGGAGCATGCCTGCTCGCTCTGCACGAATAACACGAAAAGCATGTGCTGTTAATAATATCCAACAAAATGCGTTGAGGACCTGAGTCAGTTGCCCCGTATGAAACATACTAACAGTACTTCTACAGACTGCTTGCTCTGATGCCATATGATGTGATTTCGTTGGAGACATGGAGCCGTGTTATGCCTGAATGGTTGCAGGTGAGGAGAGCGCTTCGGATGACTCAGGCTCCCCCCGTAATTATTTATTTATAGAGCCTGATTTATTGAGAAAATTGCAACAGAAGAACAACAAAATGATCTGAAAATCCTGCTTTGCAAGATCTTCGAACCAGATCTTTGTCCGCTTCCTTTCGAGACTGTGATGGTGAGGTTCACGGTTGAAATCTTATTTCTTTGGCGCGAGTAAATTGCTTTCCTCAATCCTCAATATTTTGTTTGCAGGTGTTTCGAATTCGTAAGCACCAGGCTTGGAGGAAAAAACTATCAGGAACTCTTCAACGCTCTTCAATGGCTGCACGTGAGTTTGCCTCACTATTGAAAAGACCGAGGGTAGTGCGGGAGATCCACGTTGCGGCCACACGCTGTGGCTAACGAATTATGTCGCACCTAGTTGATTTAGCATATTGTAGTCATCCTGCAATACTGCACGTCCCGTCGACGCACGACAATTGCAATAGCGCTCCAGTTCTATAGAGGCGAACGCTGTCAGAAGCGGCCGCTGGGGCTGGCGCTTGTTTTCGAGAGTACAGGGATGTGACAAGAGGGCGGAGCGCTGCTTCATACAATTTGTTACTCTCCTCCTCTATAATCTCTCAAAACCATAAGCGGTCGAAGTGCGATCGATACGCAGACTGGCGTGATTAGGCACGCTGTTACTTTCCTTGCCTCCACACTCTCTCGCATCCACAAGTGCTCGAGATTCTCGACGTGTGAGATCAGAGTTTCGATCTGCCATTTTCCTTTTTGCCTGGAGCGCTGCTTGCAATTGTTAGTCGGTGCGCGACAATTCGTGTTTACGACCGGCGTCGACCGCGAGGTTCTGACGGCTGACACGTAGGTAGTGGTGCAAGTGACGCCGCGTGTGTGACACGTATGTTTAACTGATGTGAGAGTTCCTTGCAATGTTTTAGATTATCCTTGATGAGTTCTATTGCAGCTGCTATCGCGTCTGGAGATCTCCATCCCATTCGACATGCTGCTCGAGAAGTTCAGTTTGGCTTTGTCAGGACTGTCCGCAATGGAGATCCCTCGCCTTGAGAAGAACGATCTGGAAGAAGATGACGTCTCCATACATATCGTCATCATTGACATACTAGTCTTGCATGGTAATTTACCATCCGTTTTCCATATTAATTGGATGTGTCGCTGCGTTACCTGACTTCGGCGCCTGCTCATTGCATGAGCTGCTCTTCTGGAAGGACAAAGAGGAGTTGCCCTTAGTTAGGAGGCACAGTCGGTTCGAGTAAACTCTTCTTGATAATTTGACGGTCAGTGTCCTTTACTTCGTACCTGGCCTGGGAAAACCTATTGCTCCCCAGAACGAAATTCTTCTCTTAACAAATTTTTGATTGAATATGTTGTTGAAAACATTTGAACTGCCAACAACTCATAATCAACAACAATCAATCGATGAGTTCCCTCATTTTGTGGAAGTGAAGAAGGATCTAAATTGGGCTGGAACTTCCTTGGAACCAATATCTTAAAGGCACATGGCACGATAATTTGGTACTCGATTTGAAATGCTAGCAGGGTGCTATATAGTGGGGAAAATGGCGAAAAAACGAAGTGAAACGGTCAAAAGCCTGCGGAGGTGAAGCCTTCGTTCTTCATGACTGAGAAAGCAATTTCGTACGAGTTTTACGTAGACGTCGTGCCGATGCGCTACGGTAGACACGGCTGCACCTATGTACTCATATATCCATGCAGCACCGCCGCTTCATGTCAATCCCTTCGCTTCATATTTTACTTCGCAAATGAAGCAATACGAGCATCAGGTACGGTCGTCCATTTGTGGGCGGGAGGACGAGGTGGGCGTTCGGGTAGGTATTTTGCAGAATATATAGGGGTACTTTCCTCAAGGGAGACGCTACGCACCGCGTGCTCAGGGGCGCGGAAGCCCGTTCTGCTGAGCGTATTAATCCTAAACGTCTTCGAGATTCATCGTGCCGATTGCCTTTGAGAATCAAGGAAGTAGAGGTTATGATAGAAGGGCGGTGGAATCAAGGAAAAGCAAGAGCTGGGCGTGCACAGAACCAGCTATCAGTACGAGAAGGTATTTTCTAGTACTCGCGCTAGTTGCATGCGACGGAATAGGGAAAGCAAGAGCTTGAGCGAATAAGAAATCTCCTTCAGCTTCTGTCCCGCTCTGTGGCCGGAAAAAATAGAGAAAATAGAGAATATAGGGGCTCAATGGATAAAGAACAACCACACGAGGAGCGAAGAACATCAACGAGCAGGGCATGTATGGTCATGCTGTGATAAAACGTCCCTCAATACACCTTATTCTCCAGCGTCCATGGAGCGAGGAATTTGAACATAGCGCGCTGCAAAAAACAACTGTCCGAACGCATTTCGGGAACCCAGGAGCGACCTTTTCCCACCTCCACTCAAGTGCTCTGTCGTCGAGGAGCCAGCGACAATCAGCTGTGATGGAACACCTGAAAGAAACCCCGTAACCTGGAAAACTCCATCTCTATAAAATTGTAGGAAACGAGATTCTTTCGAAGTTACAGTGTTTCCAACGACTTTTTTCGTTATATCATTCGAAACAGTGGCGCGCTTTAAGCACGCTGCGGGTCCTGGGCTTCAAACACCGGGTCGCCTGCCCACAAGCCAACCGTTCTACGGTAAATTCGTACCAGATTCGGTCTGGAGAGGATAAAACACTGACTTGAGCATCGGCTGCACCACCCGCCAAGTACAGTACATACAGGGGGCCAAAAAAAAGTCATTTCGGCCGAGCCACATATCAACGAAGTTTTCGCAGCCCAGACAGGGGAAGTGGATATGAGTACCAGAGTGGAAGATGGGGGGGAGGGGGGTGGGGGGGGGGGGGGGGGGGGGGGGCGGGGAGTTTACCCAAGATCTTCCTCTATAAGCTGGAGCACGCTGCCGCCAATCGCCTTCATGTACGCCAAAATATGAAGTCATCTCCAGTCGCGGCCTGACTGGAGAACACCTTTGGAATTCACGTCGCCTCCAAACAGCTGCGAAACTTCTTGAATGAAGTCATCCACAGATAGCTACCTGGAGGTCAGTACTCTTGACCTGCAAGACCTCCCACATCGACCAGCTACGGCAACGTCGCTACGGTCTAGGACATCATCTTCACCGTATTCGCCGAAGGCGCGAAGTTCGATGGTAGGACCGGCGGGTACCTCGGAAAAGATGGAGACCGATATGTGTTCTTTTGTAGACCCGGACGAAGGGAGCGCTGACGGTTACACAAGTTAGACCTCGAGTTAGAAAATATCCTCCCTACATGTGGTCGCCCGTACCTTCTTGGAGACCTTGTGCTGCTACAGGTTTGGGTGCCACCACATGGAATCAAAGGGTTTTGGAAAAACTCCCGCCTACTTGGAATGGAAGGGGCTGAATACCTAAAGAAGGTAGAATATCCAAGTAGGTCACCTGACCTGTATCCCTCAATTACCCGGTTCGGGCGGAGTTCAATAGGGTGGTCTACGGTGGCGGAGAAATCAACGATCTCGCTCAACTCCGGTACCCACTCACTTTCGCGCGGCCGAATCTCTCGATGGCGCTCCTCCAGAAGGCTGTGGGCGGATACTCATGTATCAGGATTTAATGTGCTCCTTCAAGTTAGTGGTAGTAAAAATGTCCGATAAAATTTAATAAAGTGTAAGTTATAGCGCCTTGAAAGTCATTGGAGGCAAAATGACTTTTTTTGGCCCTCCCCCTGTATTAGGCCACATCGCATTCAATAAGCCACTACGATTCTGAATGGAAGTAGAATGCGTGCCGCATCCCACAAAGGGATTGATCAGTGGCGAAGACTTTATCCTTTTTTATCATTTGAAAAAAAGACTTTCAGCTTCGGCTGAATGAAATAGCCGTGCACGAGCAATCGGCAATGACAGAAAAGCTGTTCTCATGTGTTTCATTGCTGCTGAGCGTTCCTCTTCGTACCACTCCCCATGAATGCAAGAATCCTGAACTGGATGGATTCGCCGATTGTTCCGGTGAGTTCCCACTCATACTTAAACTCACTTTTTAATTTTCGATCCATTTTTTCCATTTCAATTTTTTTCCTTGTATCGGAGACCTGTCTATTGACTAGGGATACTTCCAATCCCGAAACATCTGCACGGAATTTTCCAGCCTGTCAGCAAGCCGCATTTCTGCACCAAATGATCATGAACATGACAGAAAACGTCTCACCGAAGCTGGAAATGGCAATCACAGCCACCGAGGTTGGTTTTACCAGCTTTGAGTTAGCTCATTCAAATCACAATTCTCTTACTCCAGGATGATCCGGTCGACAGTTATGACGCAACAACCCCAGGCACTTCACATCCCAGCGCGGCATTATCCCCCCAAACCGCACCCGGTAGCAAAAGAGGTGAGCCTCATTGGATGACAATCTGTGCAATGTCCTTACGATGATATTTTCAGCTTCGCCCGCGACAGCAACCGCTCCTTCGGGATTTTCTGAGGGTGGTCTGTGCTTCCAAACAGCCACCGTTGAGCAAACCGGTGACGAAGAGTTTGTTGGCATTTTGCCAAGTGAAGAGGTTCGTTCAGTGACGTTCAGGGTCCTCGGATAATCTAGTGTGGGTTATAGGTTGAAGTAGCCATGGCAGAAGCCACGACACTGACGGAGACCGATGTAGGACGAGAGACCTGCCAGGTGGTGACGAGCAGCCTCGTAGAAGGAGTAAAGGTAAACGAATGAATTCTATAGTAGATAGTAATCTGAGACGTAAGGTTACCCTGATAGCGTATTTCCGCTACACAATAATTTTTTGGAAGGGCGAGATTTGGGTGGATTTCATAATGAACTTTCAAGCGACCCCCCCGCACTCAATTACCCGTTTCGTAAACGACATTGGAGGTCATGATGGCGTGAGCGGGACTGTTTATGTTGTGCCGAAAATTCGTGTCCATGCTTTCGACTGGGCGGGGTTGTCGGAAAGGACCATGAAGGAGCAGCATCCGAGCGCGGTCGGCACGTTCATTGAGCAATCGCAGCCGGCTATATCGAATGGGAAATGAGCTGTTTCTCTGGCAACTGCCGCAATGAGCGGAATATTTTCCCTAACAGTCATTCATTCCTTTGTTCATCGATAAGTGACTACTTGAAAAAGACTAAAAAAACGAGAATTTGTAGACTTCTAGAGCGATGTTTCGTACCCCGCTGTAGTACACGAATGATTGCTCAGTAAGTTTAATAATCAGGGTTCATCGAAACCAATCACAACTTTGCTAGTCAAAATCGCAGCTTTACCACATACAGAAAGCAACACTGGACGACCTTGCTGAGAGACGACGCTGTTTGGTGGCGAATCTCCGTTTTTTCGTATATAAAGAAGTCCAGGCGCCTCCTCAACTGTAAAGATGATCCACGCACTGCTACAGTGGTGAGCTGTTCATTTACTATTCACTGTTTGTGGAGCTGAATTAGAAGATTGAATATAGAAATTAATGAAGCATTGAATTCTTCCCAAAATGCGGGGAAAAAAGATAAAGGAAAGAAGGAAGAAGGTGCAGTATCGCAATAGTGCCGCCATCCATCTCAACGCTTTCATGATGCTTGTCCCCACTGCTCTGATAACTGACGTTGGTTGCATGGCTGTCTGAACTGGAACGAATTCTATCAAAGGCGAAGGAGCCGTTCCCCGAAGAGCTGAGCGGCACCTATGGCAAGTGTGTGTAATCCTGAAAGGATAATGCTTACGGCGTTGATAAACTTTTTTGTGATGCGACATGCGTTCTACTTCCACCCATGGTAGACTCTGGATTGGCAATTTGTATCGAAGAAATAGCCCGAGATCATTCGCTGTCGCAAATAGTGGATAAGAGGTTTGCATATGAACGACAAGGTTCTGAGTAACTCGATAGTGAAGAGAAAAAGCAGAGGAACATGCCAACTGCCCTAGATAGAGCCCCATTTCGATCCCAGTTTTTAGGTGCCCAGTTAACTCCACTCCAATAGTACGCCCTCAACCAAACAGCTTGATTCCTCGATAAGAACTCTACGACCGTACAAGTGACGATTTCATGCTTTTTCGTCCTGCAGCTTCGTTTTCACTGAAAGGCGGGCCTTGAAGGCGGAGTCTGGAGGCGGAGTCACTGGAAAAGGAGGCGTCACTGGGCCTACATTGTGCTATAGCACCCTCCGCTAAATTTTTGCCACGAAGTACAAGGGTGCTAGTTGGAGACAGCATCCTTCCCAGCGCCATATTTTTCACCTTCTATACCTGATCGCGGACCGTCCCTTCGAACATTATTGCAAGACGTAGAAATTAGTGCTCTATCCGAGACAGCTACATATGTCAGATTACCCTGATTACTGACCCTGAATGATGGAAGACCTGGTTAGCCCAGGTAGTAGTTGTTCCGAGATCCCCGCACCGTGCGCTGTTATGTACGGAGGTTCTTGAGATTACACCGCTTTTGCTCTGCTGTAACCTTCACACCGATTTTGCAGTACTGGTTTAATCAGAGATTCGCAAAGAGCAGCGCCCTCCAAAAGCTAGGAGTATTTACATCGTTTTGCACCTACCAACTCAGTTTTCTTCCCCAATATGGAATGGGTGCGGAACATGCGCACTCGAAAAGAAAGCTATACAATTTTCCAAAAGAAAATCCTATAAAGAACAAGATTTCCGTAGGTTGGTGTTTCTGTGAGGGATTCGTGTATAGGGAATCTCATTGACTTCTTCCTTTTGGAGAATCTGGAATACGCTGAAGATCCAGATGTGGAAAACTTCATCATGCACACACTGAAGCTCCTCTGCCTTCATTGTGGATCATTGAGCAATGCCCGACGGGAGCATCGTGGATTTCTGATATGGATACAGGTATTACTTTACATTGAAGCTATCTGAAATTTAATTACTGGATTGTCCCAACAAACCTGAACAAATGTGTTCATGCATACAAAATATTCAAGACTGAAGACCAGGGGTTGAAGTGCTCATAAGTGGGATCCAGCAGAAGCTTGATCCTGTATTGTGGGTTCAACTTCAGAGCTTTGCCGTGCTTTCTGATGGTTTCTTTGCAGGAGGCTTCTTCAAAGACAGTCCCCGCGCTCAAGCAATTCGTAGGCGTTCTCCCTTGTGCAAGTAGTCCGGTCCTCAGTCGCCAGAATTTTCCGATTTTTGGGCTTCACAGTAGGTAGCAAAGCCGCTGTCCCTCATAAGTGTTCTGACGCCTCCATAGTTGCCCCCGCCCACTAGGAAATCAAGGGTTATTTTCTGTGATGAGTTAAGTTCTTACACCGCTTTTCGTTTTCTCGCCTGTTAGGTGGTACTGCGACTGAGAGGCGAAGAAACGAATTAGTGCAATCAGAGGCGGCATGTCGCTTTTGCTACTGAAACAGAGGAAGGTCAGGAGCAACTCGTACAAGGGCTGCTGAGTGCTTTGTTACTTAGAGTGTTCTTCGTGATTTTTTTTGCTTTTTTTTCTTTAGAGCCTTCTTGCTTCTATAGGTCTCTGTTGAAAACGCCAACACCTCGCACAATATACAATCCGGGGTTAGTCCTTATAAGGCAGTAGAAACTGACAAAGAATGACTCTTCTAAGCGGAACACGAACAATCTAAGATCGCTGCGCGAAGGGCGTGTGCAGGCGTGATGAGTTTGCGCGGTGCCAAACCCGCTCTCCACCAGTCGCTGAAGACAGGTGAAGCAGGTGACAAGACTGTATCATATCGTTCGTGCCACTCGTTTTCTACCAATTGCTGTCGCATTATCTTCATTCAACAACTGACAGCGCAACGAGTTCGGGCGCGCGGCAACTTCATACTGGCCTAACACGCTCCTTTTCATCCGCAGCGAATTAAGCCATAGTCTTGCAAAAAATGTAAATCAGGACACATCATTGGTTGGGGATTTCAGTCGAGTTCGTGTGACCCCCCTCCCTTTCTGAGGGTTGGTACGACTCCCCAACCCTCCAGCCGCCTGTCCTCATTCGAATCGATGCGTCGAGCGGAGGGGAGGGGGGAGGGGGTAAAGTAGGCCACATGTGAACAGGAAAAGCCCGAGAACATTACGACCCCCCCGTCTTCTAACCAATTCTCATGATTCTCATCCAACTTACCTTTCCCAATAATTTTATGCTGTAGACGGGAGGGGGGAGGGGGGGTTGAGGTATGTAGTACGCATGAAACAGGAAAATCGCGAAAAGTCAACCGCCGCTCCCACAACTCCTAGAAAGCCCGGAAATGAATGCGATTCCCCCTTCCCAACAATGAGCAAGTACGACCCCTCCCCTTCAAACGTCGTGAAGCGAGAAAAATCAACTATTAAAGTAAATTTTTCTCATCCCTAATACGAACCCCTCCCCTCTTGGAGGCCAAATACGCTCCTTCTTGGGGATTCCCCAACAACGATGTGCCCTGAATGTAAATGTAAATCGTAAATCTAATCTTAAATACATCTCTTCTTTTCCATTTAGCCTAGATCAATAGAGCTTTCCAGTTCTAGCAAATCTTTTTTTCTCACTGCCGTAACGGCACGGACGTCATTCTTTATGTCTTCTATAAACCTTGCACGGCTTGAATCGATCTCTTAGTTTGATTGTGTCAACCTAATTTGCTGAAAGGGCATCTTGTTTATCACCCCGCGGCTTTCGTAGCGCTTGCACTTCCCCAGCTTCTTCTAAGTTTGAAAGGGGAAGGAGCAGTTGGAACAGCCATACTCAGAGTACGTCCTAGTCAGGAAAATGTCGCAGGAGCACAAACCCCTCAAGAAGTTCCTTCTCTATGTGCTTTTACGACCCTCCGCCCTTACCCTCACTCTATCCCTCATGCCTGCACATTCACACCCTGAATTTCCCCTACTTCCTGCCGCTTTTCCAAATTTTCCAGAAATTCCTTCACTTTTCCCAAAAAAACTGTTGTCGACAGAGTCGTGCCTTTAGGAATCCCTAGCGAGTTGGTGGTTGCATTTGATTGCTGGAGGAAGTCGTGTTTGTCTCTGAAAAAAACCTTTTCAGTTGTTGAGTTTTCTCCTGTTTCTATCCTTTAAAGTTTCACGCGCGCTGTATGCCACCCGCTCAAGGCCTCTGAAAGGGGGGGGGGGGTGGGGAGAGGCTGGAGAAATTTTCTAAGAAATCGCAATAGTTTAAGGAGTCGGGAGAGTTCAGGAAGATGGTATGTAGGATGATGGGAGGAATTCTTGACGGAGGAGGAATTTTCGAGAAATGGGGCGTATTTTTTGTTCCCTAACAGAAGGGCATACCTCGATCGTCAAGCGGGGTGCATAAAAGTTATGTGAAGCGGAAAAAACCGGGGTAAGTCAACAACACTGAATTCTTCCCACGAATCGGAAAATTTCTCTCGAAAACAAATGGAGAAAATACAACCCCTCACCCCTCCCTTTCAACGACGAGCAACAACGACCTCTACAACACCTCTCTATCCGTCATTGGGATTCTCCAACGATGCAGATAGCACGCAGGAAACAGGATAAACGAACTATCAAAAAAATTTTGTCAAGTCAAATACGACCCCTCCACTCGCTAAGAATTCCTGATTTCCGTTTTTAACTTATCTCTTTAGAAAAAAATCTAGGACATAATTCTCAACGACACACGAAAACTTTTCCTCACGAGGTTTTACGAGTTCCCATAAAAGATTCACCTAAGCTACGATACAAGTTCTTGGTTCCAGGAAAGCATGATGGTACCAAAACTCTGGGCAAGGCTAAGGTCGGACTTTGTTCAAGTAAGCACTATTAAACTGATATTAATTACGGCGCAGTTGTAACAGCAGCGTAATTGCTTCCGTTTTAGGTGGGCGAACTGGCGACACTGCTCTTACTGCACTGCATCTCATTCCCATCCGGGGAAGAAGCTTTTTGGCGAGTCGTTAACAGGGATTTCGCGAATCCTGACTGGAAAACTCGATTCGATGCAGGTCTGTACGCAAAACGGTCTTTGTAGACATGGCTAGAGAATTTTGGAGATTTGTACTCCAGACTGAGAAAATCTGTAGTGCTTCTTTTTCTAGCGGTACATTGATGTATATATGAAGTCGCGAAAAAAAAACTTGGAGCAAGCTTTGAAGAAGCATTTTCATCTGTCCTGAGCACTCTAATCTCTTATACACCGCTATCAGGATCAGAAGCTAAGAACATAAAGTCTTCATACAATAATATTAAGATTTTGGTTAAGCGGAGATAGTGTATTGGGAAGCTGCGCCTTTTACCACAAGCGAGGGCTGGGTTTCAAAGCCCGCGTCAGCTCCCTCCTGAGCCAACCGAAGTTTTCGTGCCTGCGGGGAAAGGTTAGCAGCAGAAGTAGTCTCGTTTAAAAAGATAAAAAAAGTCGACTCCTGCATTGGCAGCCGACACACCACTTTCGCCCCCCCCCCCTTCCTCAAAGTGCCTCATCGCCGTAATCTTCAAATTCTGTCCCTGCAACGAATTCAATCAACCAACTCTCTTCTTTAGAGTAGCTTTTTGGGAGCACTTGATTTGAGCAAACAACGTTCTCATGTACAGTTCAAACTTCGGGTAAAGCTACTAGAAAGCGCGCGACTTGGGTTTGTTCCAATTTTGTTTTCCACGACTGTATGGAAGTAGTTGTATCCAAGTGAATTATAAGTTGTATCTATGTTCCAGTTGGCAAGGCTTACGTAATGGCTCACATGACCAAAATGACTCCGGTGAAAGGGAATAAGGTGAGTAGTAGTTAAATTCACGCAAAAATTCCACGAGTTTCATGCGATAAGTGATCATGAGAAACACCCAAAGGGCATGGATGTGTGTATCTGGCTTATTCTTGAATCCCGAATATAAAAGCTGTGAGGGCGTTTCGACCGGGGCGCAGCAAGCGGCGTCACGTACGCAACATTCGCGCAAGGACCCGAACTGGATTTTACGCAGGATAGGTGCGAGCTTGCCGCTCGCGAACCCCGAAGTATTGCCTTCAGTACAGCCCATCAGTGTATCATATTTATTAGCTCAATAAGGCAATCAGATGGAATCGGGATTCGTCGCAGTCGAAGTAGATGACAGACCAATGATGACGGAGTTGAGTTGACAGCGCGGCAAGGAATCGGCGAGCCCAGAGGTGACGTCGGAGCAGGCAGCGGTCGTCCTGGTTGGCATCTCGGCAGATCTCTCGTTGGCGTTCAGCGCGAACCTTAAGTATTGTCGGTGAGATGAGTCATGCGCATCGCACTCTGACCTTCTCCTCTCTCTCTCTCTCTCTCTCTCTCTCTCTCTCTCTCGCTAGT